AGAGAGAGAGAGAGAGAGAGAGAGAGAGAGAGAGAGAGAGAGGCCGAATGACAAAATTGAAATATGGGTCAAATTGCGGTCGCGATCTATTTTGCAGTTGGAATATTTTTTTTTAATTTATTTAGCGTTTTTCTTGGGAAGATCACAACAAAATCTACGAGTACTCCAATTTTCGGGTTTTTTCACGCATTCTTCTGAGAGTGAAAACTCAATGAATTTGAAGTACTTTTTAAGTTGGCCCACACATGGCTGAGTGGCAAAAATGGAAAATGTGCCCAATCGGCGCGACGATTATTTTTCGATCTAAATAATTTTTAAAAAATGTTCTAATAGTTTTCCTAGAAAGAACACGACCTCATATATGGATTCTTAAAATTTCAGATTTTCCTGCTGGTTCTTCCGAGCATAGAAAATCGCCAAAGGTGTCTCTTGCAAAATGCCTGTTTCGTTGCGCCTGACCTCCCTGTTTGTTTTGAGAAGACGGACCTCAACGTCTGGGCCTGAGGGCCCTTACCCCACCCCCACTTCGTTTTGGGGTCCACTTCCACCCGAGGACCGGTCCTTGCTTTTTCCAAAAGTCCCGGTCATTCCAAAGTTGCCTGTAGGTAGTCCCCAATTTTGCCAAGGACCGGTCCCCCCCCAAACTTTTGCCTCTTGAAAACCCACTTTGCATCCTGGTCGCCCGCCGTCGAAAATGCGACACCTTGACGCAGACGCCGAAGCCCACTAGACCGCAGCCTTAGGGCTGCAAATATCTCTAGGTGGCGGGCACCAAGCTTGCCCAGGAAGGTACATGATGCCAATGGGGATTGAACCTAACTGAGCTAGGCCGCTGGATCTCCTTGGCTTCCATCATGCGTAATTTTGCATTTCCTTCAACCCCGTCGGTTATCCATCCCGTTCAGTACGGGACCGCTCCGGTCCGATACCCCTGTTCGCAGCCCTTAGGCTGCGGTATAGTGTGTTTCCGCGTCTGTGTCAAGGTGTCGCATTTTCGGTGGCGGGCGACCAGGACGCAAAGTGGGTTCTTAGGGGACAAATGTTTTTTGGGGACCGATCCTTGGCAAAATTGCGGACTACCTACAGCTAGCTCTTTTCTATAAATGGGACTTTTGGAAAAACGAAGGACCGGTCCTCGGGTGGAAGTGGACCCTAAAAAGAAGTGGGGGTCATTGGACCTGTCCTCGGGTAGAAGCGGACCCCAAAAAGAAGTGAGGGCATGTGAACTGCAAAAAGGCCCTCAGGCCCAGGCGTTGAGCCCCGTCTTCTCAAAACAGGGAGGTCAG